TACAGAGAAAACAAAAGGAAAACTAAACTAAACATTTTATTATGAACAGAGACAAAAAAACTAATAAAAAACATTCAATACACAAACAGAGAAAACAAAAACAAATCAAATTTGCAGTATTCACTCAAATTCCATGACTATCTATAAAGATTTGCAAACTGCATGTACTGTGAGTAAATACATCACTGTTATGATTTATTTTACATTTGTGATATTTTTCACAAAATTAAACACCATGGCATCATTTTTACACACATCATCATTATACTTGGCTAAAATCTGACGCAGGGAAAGTCCTGAGGCTTTATGACATAAATAAAAAATGCAATGTTGTCCGCACACGGTTGAATGGGTGCTCTGTAGCTGATAATTGTGATAAATTATTTCTGAAGAATGCAATTTCAAAAAGTTCACGATACTCCGAGGATAATAAATAAATTCTGGGGGAAATCCGTATCTTTTCCATCTTCCTCCAAAGTAAGGTCGAGCCAATGTTCTCCAGGCAGATGAGATGCATGTATTATACTATAAAATATGCAGGTCTTTATATTTCATTTGATAATAACTGCAGCTGATCGGAGGCCCAAACGCCACAAAAATGCTTTCTGATCAGGTAACGCAGGATGCTTTCAATCTGATTATTCATATTTATTATGTTTTTTTCCTTTTCAGACTTTTAATAGTAATCCACCAGCACTTGTCGTTTTGCGTTAGTCTCTAGAATAGAATCGTAACACACATAGACGATTAAAGTTACAGTGTTTGGAAGAGCCTTTCTGAATCGCATTTCCAGTCTTAAATTGCCGTTAGAAATTGGGGAGAGGGAGTCGTTATCCTCTGCTGCGTTTAAATTGAAGAGAAAAAGAGAGTATCCCTCATTAAAATCTTCACGACTTATGCTCAGAGGGAAATCTTTCAGGTGTCGTCCGGTGGCCAGAAAGAGGTTGTAATACTCCCTGACTGAAATGTTCTGGGCAAAATCCGGCTGAAAGGCCTTTGCTGGGAACTGGCGTCCGTCTTTGACTAGCACAACATATTCCAAATTATAATTTCGAAAATTAAAAGGAGATAATTCTCTGCTACCTGTAAAAGAATCATGATTCACCAACGCCAGAATAACCAAACGGGGAATAAAGCCCAGAAAAATATTCTCCAGGTTGCAGATTCTTGAATTTACAGGAATGGAATATGTTTTAACATTCACTCGTGACAGAGGATATAAAGCATTCGCTTTCATGAGAGCAGTGGCGTGCCTTAGATGAACAGCCGGTGAAACGGAAACTTTTTTCACAAAAAGTGACACTCCCAAAATACGCAATTTGAAGGTGGAATTGCACTGTCCCATCAAACAGAACGAATCACTTGCTCTGGAAAGTTTAATTCGCAGATCCACAGAAATCAAAAGCAACCGCTCACAGAAAAAAATATCAGTGTGTATGGGGCCGAGAAGAAGTACTTCATTTAACTCAACGGTATGAGCTGTTCTTTTGTTAAATCCCCAGTTCGGCCTGTCAACAGCGACAAAAGAATCGATTGCACCTGCTGTGTCTTTGTAAAACAGACCTGCGCTGAACTTGCTGTTTAGGGTAGCCTGGGAAAAATTCACCAGCATCTCAATGATCGCACGGTAAGGGTGCATAGCGCTGGATTGCGAGATCAGACGGTCCCCGAGGGTGACGTTGCACTGTGAGAAGATTGTGTTTAGAGGATAATTCACCAACCCTGTATCCACATCAGCCGCTATGTCCGTACCGTCTGCATTGGTGATTTTCACTCTTAGATAAAGGAGAGTGTCAGACAAATCCGTATATTTTTCACCATCCCCAGGGAGATAAAATTCAATAGGACTAGCATCCGTCAAAGATGCTATTGGTAAAACTTCAGTAAAAATTTTGTCCTCAATGGACAGCTGCGTCATGGGAGGTGTAAAGAGGTCTAATTCGGACAAAGTACTTTCTTGCGATTTGCTGTGTAATAAAGCCATCTCTCTTTGATTAAAATATATCAGAGCCGGGTGCAGACTTCCGTCTCTTGTGCTTGTTTTTGTCGACTGATTTCTTTCTTTTCTTCACTTCCTTCTTAACGGACCAGACCCTTTTACCCGGAGGGCGTTTCTTGGGTCTTTTGGAGAGAATCATGATGCTCAACCCTTCTTGGGCATCAGGGCTGCGAGTCATTTTTGTCATGATGTTTCCGATCACGTCAGAGGCAATGCCTGTTGCAGCTTTTTTCAGGTGGCTTAACGAGGGCAAACTCTCTTATCATCGGAGAGACGTAGCGGAATAATTTTGAAAAGAGCGAACCAATTCCTCTTCTGTACATAACAGATGCTTAAAAAAATCCCGGCAGAGAATGTCCTGCCTGGCTTACATAATAATGAACAAAGCGATTTTGATCATAAACTATTTTTTCATTTGTTTTTCTAAAGTAGTTTTGGTTTAAAATGCTGTAAACAAAATCCGCCCACTCACTGGTTCTGTTTGGCTTTTATCTGAACGATGATGATGATGATGATGATGATAGCACTCGTTTGCTTTCAAGTCCGAAATGTAAGCCGAAGGTGAAGGCGTACGGAATTTAAAACATTTCCTCGCCAGCGGTTCAGTCCCATAAAATCTGATTTCAATCACTGAGGCGATGGGCGAAAGTGAAGCTTCACTATGACTTTTCCTTATGTAAATATTACAGGAACATTCTGGTCATTTTTTTATTTCCACGTGAATAGTTTCAATATATTTTTTAGAGACAGGCAGATAATCCGGGGAGTTAAAGGTGCGTGTAATTACGTCCCCGTAAGTTCCTTCTACTTGAACTGTTCTTAAAAGCGGATCGCTTCCATCACAGACAATCTGATAAGTAATGACGTCACTGTAACAGTAGAGCTGATAAAATCCTGACTTCATATCTGCGGGATAAGGGGCCGCTCTTTGATCAAATAGGATCCATTCTCCTGGGATGACCCCTAGTATATATGCCACAGGTTCAAAAAACCTTAAATGGTACTGCCCCACTGCTTGAAACTTTATTTTCTTTTGAATACGACTAAAAAATAAATAAATATCCGAGTTTATTTTTCTGAAAAATGCTTCCAACTCTGTTTTAAGGTGATTGATCTCCTGGAAATATGCGCTTCTGAATTTCTGTCTTTGCACTTCATCTTGATTGTCTTTTTTTCTCCATTCGAAAAAAGTACGATTGTGTGTAATATTAAACCACGTACAGTATGTGGATATGATACTTCAGTCAAAGCGACCTGCCAATTGCCTTTTAAGTTAAGCGGATGAGCTAAATCTACATGAAAYCTGGAACTCGTGTTATTTTTAAATACTTCAAAACTTGCGTTAGAAGGCAGAGTCACGTAAAAACCTTCTTCCATCTTCTTCGGCGCACAGACGCAAATGGTACAGACACTCGCTTATTTAAACATTATAAAGATCACTGGCTTTGACCCAGCTGTTGAACTTTTTAGGCCATTTTCCCAAGAAACAAGAACCTGCCGTACACCTCCAACCGTGCGGTGTTTTAAAATTTTATCTATGTGATAGGTTTTCTCCTCGTTCAGTCTGAATTTTTGCAACTCGTGTTCATAAAACGATCCTTGAATTGATTCACCATCATAATCTTTGAGTTTATAAATTGGAGGTCTGTGTGGAATACTTTCAGAGATTGTAAAGAGCTTGTCTGTGAAACTTTGTTCATATTTCTTATCAAAAAACCCGCGCAGTTTAGATATTCTCACAAGGTCTCTGACTTTAAAGTTCAACTTGATTTTGCGATGTTTTGTAGCACCGTAAAGATTATGTAAAATTTGGAGAGGGTTTTCAGAACTCACTTGCATAGGGGTCATCTTTATACTGGAGTGGAAACTGCAGCTGTAGCTATTCAGAAGGTCTTGAAGAACATCGAGGTATCTGCGTGTGTTGTTGGCTGTAAAATACCGCCACATCTTTGATTTCAACATCCCAAGGGCGTAACTTTAGGTCTAACATTGGGGGGGGGG